CTCTCTCAGGCTCGGCGGTGACAGGCCAATGGGATGCCCTCCCAGCAGCAAGTCCCAATCGACAGTCCAATCAATCCCCCATTCAGGACCAGACCAGCCCAGCCAATGCCACACTGGCCCATCGCCCATCTCGTTGCCCATCGCTTTTATCGAGGTTTTTCTCCTCTGAGCTCATAGGCACATCCTGGTAGCTCGACCGGCCCCATTGCTCCAGTTTGGACCCCAGTCTGTTACGGCTGCCATCACCGCTGCTGGGTTGGCCCCTTGTTTGTCGTCTCGCCAATCCAGACGCTCCTTGCCCCCCTTCCTCGCCCACTCCAGAGCAGTCCTGCGTCCGCCGTCTTTGCTGTGCTGCTGCTGCTTGTCTTGTGTCGTCTTGGTTGAGTGCTTTGGCTCATGTTTTGGCTGGCGCAGGTGCTGTTCACTGCTTCGATCTGCTTCCTACAGCTGCATAACCTCTATGGGTAGTGTTTCCATCGAGGTAGGTACCTCCCGGTGTGGACGAGGTGAGGTAAGTGTATGTGTTGATGTATCTTTTCAGAGTTCAAAGCTGTCGAGGGTACTTGTACTTCCACCTCGAGCTGGCCCCCCAAAACAAGTGCGGCTGCTTCAGGCCTGCTTCTGGCTCTGACGCTGGCGCGCACTTGCATAAAACAAGTACCTTTTCTGAGCCTTACCCGCTTCCCGGTACATGCCTGGCATCCAGGTCTCGTCTGGTCCAATACAACAAGCACGAAGCTCCCAGCTCCCATCTCCCAGGTCCATCAGTACCTTCAACTCCCCTCAAGAATCAACAAGTGCTGCCCCCCCCCCTCCCCCTTTCCCCTGTCCCGCCGACGGCCTCGATTCACTTGTACCGTGTGCGCGCGAGTGTCCACACCACACTCCATGTCACAGTCCCGTCCTCTGGCCTGCTCTCTGCTCTGGCTCTGTCCTGTCCTAACCAAGAAAACCATCCACTCTCTCAACCTAACCTTGCACCTCTCTCCCTCCTTCTCCTTCTCTGTCCCGTCCCGTATCCATTAGCTTGCACTTCTCTCCTCGTGAATATCATCCGACAAGACGCACTCTAATTTTTCTCCAGTCCCTCCCTTTTTCCCTCTTTCTCTCTCTTCCTCCCCTCCCCTCCCCTCTGCCAACCCTCCCACCTGCACTACTCCAACCACTCCTCCTACGTGACGAGAGAGAGAGAGCGCATGCGAGAGACCGCTGTCCGACCTGCTGGGTAAGAGGGCTCCATTCGACTGCTTCTTGGTCTTGACTCCCTCCTTCCCCCCTCCGTACCTCTCTCCCTCATCCGTCTGTTGCTTGTGCAGCTGTTGGTCTCGCCCTCCCTCGAGCAACCTAAACCGGGCTTCGCACATTCCCTATCCAAGCCTCGACAGATTAGACACCTCGCAGTCGCCTTTCTGCCGTCGACGACTCACCTCTGTGTCGCTCTTCCGTCGACGACGCCCCTATCGCTGGTATCGCGCCGCCTCCATCTACAACACACAGCTTCAGTCGGCCATCGACAATGTCCCTCTTCGCCTGGGCCTCGCGCCGTGCAGGCGGCTTGGCCATGCTGGCCCTGCTGTCTCTCAGTTACTGGGTTATCTCGAAAGAATCAGCTGCTTCGGCACAAGGTTACAATTATATGCATCAGGACAGCCTTAGCGCCATCACGCCGACGTTCAAGGGCGCCGGCTACTGGACCGTCATCTTCGCATACTACTGCCTGTTTATTCACATCCTCGTCTTCGCCTTCCCTATCCGATGCTGCTACGCTGTCTTCGACATGACCCGCAGCCTCAAGAAGATCGCCCGCAACAAGACCCTGAGGGATTACAAGTTCTCTCATCGCCGTCGCGGCTCTTCCACCTCCCTGTCCAGCTCCGAGACCTTGACCTCATCCCACGGCTGCTCCGCCTCCAGTAGCGAAGCTGGCGACACCGAGCCCGAGCTCTACACCGACGCCGATGGCGAACCTGACCGCGTCATCCACGCCATCATCATTCCCAACTACAAGGAGGAGATGGACACGCTGAAGGAGACCCTTGAGGTCCTTGCCTCGCACCCTCAGGCTCGCAGCTGCTACGACGTAAGTCCATTTCCCACATGTTGTCTTCTTTCCACCGGTCGAGCACTTGCGCAACCACGGTAAACTTTCCGCCGGCTTTGGATGACGCGCGCCCCGAATCATGCGTCCAACCGCTAACTCGGACCCCTCTAGGTCTACCTGGGCATGGAGCAGCGTGAGCCCAACGTCGAGCTCAAGGCCATGTCTCTCATCCAAGAATTCGTCAAGAAGTTCCGCGGCATCGACTACACTGTTCACCCTTCCGACATCCCAGGGGAGTCCGCCGGAAAGGGAAGCAACGTGGCATGGGCTGCCCGCAAGTTGAGCCAAAAATACTCAATGACCGCCCGCAAGGATGTGATCATTACAGGAATTGACGGTACGTGCGCATGTCAGAATCAGAGATTCTGCCGCAGTCAATGTTTCCAATTTTTGCGCGTGTAGAATGATTCGCTGACCAAAACGTGGGGTATCTACAGCCGACAGCCACCTCTCGGCCAACTACTTCGCCCTGCTTACCACCATGCACCTATCATACCCCGAAACAGCAAAGACCACCCTGTACTCGGCCCCAATCATCTTCGACCGCAATGCCCACGCCGTTCCCGCCATTGTCCGTGTTGCCGACATCCTCTGGGGTGCCGGCGGCATGTCTGGATTGTACGGCGGCTCGACCATTGCGCCTCCCACGTCCGTCTACTCTGTTCCCCTGGATCTTGTTGACCGCGTCGGTGGCTGGGACTGCGACAACGAGGCTATCGGAGAGGATTTGCACATGTACCTGAAGTGTTTTTTCGCGCTCAACGGAAACTTGACGGTCCGAACCGTGCTCAGCCCCGTCAGCCAGAGCAACGTTTGCGGCAACGGCTCCAAGGGTCTGCGCGGACTCTACTCGGATATGCAGGCCCGGTACAAGCAGGCTATGAGACACATGTGGGGTGCTCTGGATTCCGGATACGCTCTCCGCAAGGTCGTCGAGCTCTGGCAAGAGCGCAAGCACACCTCTCGCGCTTTCCGCCCTCTGCACACCTCTCTCGGCGACGCCTCTGATGTTTACGTCCCCGAGGCCCCTCTTGACCAGGAGAACCCCGAGCAGCCCCGTGAGAGCGGCATCTTCTCCGATGTCACGCACGACACTCTTCAGGCTCCTAACTGGGAACGCATCGTCTACCTCTTCCACCGTCTGTTCGAGGCCCACTTCCTGCCGCTGCAGATGACCATCCTCGTCGTCGCTTCCACTTTGTACGTCTGGGTCACCGAGGGCAGCGAGGAGGTCGCTCACCTCCGCTGGATCTTTGACATTTGCAACGTTCTGCGCACTCTCGGCTTCATGGAGATTGCACTCTACCTGTTCCTGTACGAGAGCTTCCACCGCATTTGCGTCAAGTCCCGCCAGCGCGAGATGTCCGAGGCCGGTCTTTCCGACGGCATGAACTTCTCTTACCGCAGCGTCAAGAAGAACTTTATCGACTACGCCATGGTTCCCTTGGTGGCTCCCATCTACGGAGCCATCCCCTGCGCCCAGGCCCAGCTGTGCCATTTCTGGACGCTGGACCTGGTGTACTCGGTCAGCAAAAAGGTCACCCGACAAAGGGCGAAATCACTTTCAGCAGACGAAATGGCGTAACGACAATTATATTCCCTTCACTGTTATCATTTACCTAACTTTCGACTGGACCGCGCTCCTTGGCATAGGCGGCGTTGGCTCCTTTTATTTTTTCCCTTCGATTCGACGCACAGCCCAATTCTAGCAAGACCCACCAAACGGCGGTTTTTAACTCGATTTAACGTGTTTGAAGACGTTGGGGCTCTGAGAAGCCTCATGTGTAAATAGATGAGGGCATTCTTGATATGCATGGCATGGCATGGTATCGGCATTCTAGAGATATTGGGAATTCATGGGGCCTCAAACCGGAGTTCTCGGAGCAACACGCAGGAACTTGACGAGCGAGAGAGCCGTCCAAGTGCATTCGCTTATACGGAAGACGGAGTGGAACGAACGGAGTAGGACATATCCACGCCAGCATGACGATGTTCAAACCACCAGAGGCAGAAAGATGCCAAGAGGGTGACAAAGACGACGCATCCGCTGGGGACAGGACGAGCCCGGCAGGAACAGCTGAGAGTGGGTTCCACACAACCAACAGATGGGAGGCCGACACACAGAATCCCGGGAACCCATTAATGGACGAGTCCTATAATATTTAATTGTGTGTACATAGAACGATTCATGATCATGGCAACGCTAGAACGTGGATCGGGGAGTGGTCAATAGGAAGACAGTTGCCACCAATACGAATGATGTGAATTTGTAGACATTCCTCCCTTCGCTGTTCAGTGTGTATGTGGCTTTCGTGTGTATCGTCGTGCTTGATAATTGCAGATTCGTCAGCTGCTGCGGCTGGGTCGTTTCTGTGGATATGAGGCTGAACACGTAACCAGCATCAGCCCGTCCGGACGATAGACGTCGACTTGGAGGCCGCGTGTCGTCGGCTTTGGTGTGCTTAAGCCCAGCGGATGTCAGCACGACAGCCCAGTATTGTATGACCGCCAGTACCCGACGCCTCTCGGAAGTTGGTCATGCCATGGCCAATCAGCTTCCCCGCCTGCAGCCAACGGCGGCCGGCCCATTCTCACAACGGTGTTGGGAGGCCGTAAGAGCCGGCCGAGGATGGGCCGGAGACGGGGCTACTCCGTCGTCGTCCGGAGCCACAAGGGCCGTCGGGTTGGCGTGAGGTGGTCGAGCGAGGCTGTCGCGGCATTGAATACGATACAAGAGACGACGGTGGTCCTTTGCATGTGGTTTCTAGAGCTGACCGGCAGAGGCTTTTCAACTCGAGTTTCCAGCTTACGGGCAGATTAGGTGAGACATCTGAATACTTTGGTTATTCGTCGCTAACCTCCACAGACAACTAGACATTGAATATCAGAGCGTCCCAGCATGGCGAACACGAACGTCGTCAGGATCGGCGTCTTTGTGCCGGGAGAGGTCCAACTCCTCGACCTGTCCTGCATCGACATCTTCCACATGATGTCCAGGGAGTACCTCGGCCTGGAGTCGATGGACCTCCTGCCGAAGCACCTGCGGGACCTGGCGCCCAGCGTGGAGATTTCGTACATCACCTCCGCGGCCTATTCTCCGTCCGCCTCTGAGACAAAGTTGCTCCCCATTACGTCGAATCTGCGGATCGCGCCGACGCACGACATTGCCCATCCGGACGTGCAGCCCGGCCGACTCGACATCTTGCTCGTTCCCGGGCCGGATCCGGGGGGCAAGTGGGAGGAGGACGTGCTGGGGTTCCTGAGGGCTCACGCGGAGAGGGAGGAGACGGATGTACTGAGCGTGTGTACGGGTGTCTTCCTGTGCGGCGCGGCGGGCTTGTTGGAGGGGAGGACGGTGTGCGGGCCGAGGGGGGTGCAGGACCAGCTGAGGAAGAAGTATCCCGGGACGAAGTTTGTGGGGGAAAGGTATCGGTGGGTTCAGGATGGGAATCTATGGAGTGGTGGTGAGGTTTTTGCTTTTTCTCTTGGTTGATGTCGACTTGCTGACGATGAGAGACAGGTGGGATCACGAATGGGAACGACCTCGTCGCGGCATATGCGAGGAGGAACAGCAAGCACTTCCCGGGGCCGGTGGCTGAGATTGCGTGTTCGATGGCGGATGTTGGTGATCGCGGGCAGTTCTATGGGGAGGGGCAGACGGTGTACTTTTTGGGTGTTGTGTGGCAGGTTGTCAAGGCTTGGTTCGTGAGGCCAGGCAAGGCGAAGGGCGTCTGATCGAGAAGGGGATGAGATGCGAGCTGTGTGACGGAGTTGTTAAGACAGCTTGTCTACTTTTCCTAGTATCTTTCCTTTCGTAAATTGTCACTGGAGAGTATCCCCATCCGTCAAATAATTTCGAGACAGAGCATCTATAACAGGCCTTGCGAGACGTGGTCAAGATGGTGTGCATTCAAGTCCTACTTCTGTAACGGCGGGTTCTTGTTGGTTTTGAAGACCTAGTTTCTTTTCAGAGCCTTTATGAAAAATCGGTTTTGGCAGATTTTTAGAGGGAAGAATTCTTCTTAAAAAAGGTCAAGTTATCATCAGATATCCTGCCATTTATCCTCATCTCTCGAAATGTATGACAGTCTTTGCGAGAAGTGAAGATGATGTGCATTCCAGTCCGGATGTCCTGCCTCTGCAACGTGCAACGGCGGGCCAGACTCCCAATAAATCGCATCAGAGCGGGTCTCAGACGTTATCCAAGACCCATGTCAACTGCGCTGGATCGCGCCGAGGCAGCGGGAGGAAGAACAGAGCGGTGTGCGCGGATGCTTCTCGGTGGCTCCATCACCATCCTCACCGTCCGCGATTGTGCAACTGGAGTCCATCTTTTTTTTTTTCTTCTTGAGCAAGGGTCCTATGCAGTTCTTTCCCCGGACGCAGCTTCCCTGTCAAGGTCGTCGTTGTGCAGCTGTTGCTATGGCAGGATAAGACCGATAAGGCGGCGCTAGTGCCTTGGGCGGTGGGGTCGACGCCAGAAAAAAAAAAAAAAAGTTCCCGGGCAGGCGTCGATGAGGAAAAAAATTTCAGGCAAAAGCTCTTCTACCTGGACCTCACCTTCTCTGTACAATCTCTCTCTCCCTCCACTGCAACTCTCATCTCTTCCCCCCCAATTCCCTCGATACCCAAACAAGACATTCCCAAGTCAACGGTTCTTTGACTCCTTTGACGTTTTAATTATTCCCAGTACAAGTCCGAACGCGGCATCCTTTTCACTTCTTTTAACGCAACACTTCACACACTAGCAAAATGGCCCAGCCTGTCGCTCTCTACGGTCTGGAGATCCCTCCCGGCGATGTCCTCATTCCCGCCTCTCCCGACTTCCCTGCCACTGTAAGTATCTTCCTCGCCTCTGGGCTCCTAGACTGGGGTGCGCCAGCGCGCGAATCGCTGCTGGACTGCTACTTGCGCCCGGCGCATTCGCCTCACGACAGTGACTGATTGTGCAATTGCAGTTCCGCATCACCATGGCCGCCATTGACCCTACCGAGGCGCCCGAGGCTGACAACGACGGAAACATCCCTGCTGTCCCCCGCTCTACCCTCCGCCTGGTCAAGCAGCGCTTCGGCGACGACCTCGAGGAGGACGGTGATGATGAGATTGACGAGGAGTACATGAAGGCTCTGATCGCCGCCAACGACGATGACGAGGACTCTGATGATGACGACGAGCCCAACGGCGGCCCCAGCGACCCCGCCAAGTCCAAGAAGCAGAAGCAGGCCGACGCCCTCAAGAAGCTGATCGAGGCCGCCCAAGAAGAGGAGGACTCTGACGAGGAGATGGACGATGCCAAGCCCAACGGTAAGAGCAAGAAGGGCAAGGCCAAGGCTTCCGACGATGATGAGGACGAGGAGAGCGAGGAGGACAGCGACGACGAGGACGGTCTCGACCTTGAGAACTTTGTCATCTGCACTCTCGACACCGAGCGCGTAAGTTGCGCCACAACCCACAGACGCCTTCAGGGACCCCGCTAACAATGTTACAGAACTACCAGCAGCCCCTTGACATCACCGTCACCGAGGGCGAGAAGGTCTTCTTCGTCGTCTCTGGTACCCACACTGTCCACCTGACCGGCAACTACGTTATCGATGCCGAGGAGGGCTCCGACAGCGAGGACGAGGACGACGAGGACGGCGAGTACGACCTCTCCCCCGATGAGCTCGAGTACGCCATGGGCGAGGTCTCTGACGAGGACAGCGATGACCTCGACGACACTGCCGACCCCCGCGTCATGGAGGTCGACTCCGACGACGAGGAGGCCCCCAAGCTGGTCGAGACCAAGAAGGGCAAGAACAAGCGCGCCGCCGAGAGCCTCGACGACCTGATTGCCGAGAGCAAGGACGAGTCCAAGCTGTCCAAGAAGGACAAGAAGAAGCTCAAGAACAACAAGGGCGAGGCCGTCGCCGCCGAGGAGAAGTCCACCCCCAAGTCCGACAAGAAGGTCCAGTTCGCCAAGAACCTCGAGCAGGGCCCTACCGGCTCCGCTGAGAAGGCGAAACAGGCTGGCAAGGTCGGCGTCAAGGTCGTCCAGGGCGTCACCATTGACGACCGCAAGGTCGGCTCTGGCCGCGCTGTCAAGAACGGCGATACCGTCGGTGTTCGCTACATTGGCAAGCTCGACGACGGCAAGGTGTTCGATGGTAAGCACAGATGGCAACGCTCCAATTTTCGCTATGCTAACTCTGCCTGCAGCCAACAAGAAGGGCAAGCCTTTCTCCTTCAAGGCCGGCAAGGGCCAGGTCATCAAGGGCTGGGATGTCGGTATCCTCGGCATGACTATTGGCGGCGAGCGTCGTCTGACCATCCCCGCTCACCTTGCCTACGGCTCCAAGGGCCTGCCTGGCATCCCCGCCAACAGCACCCTGACCTTCGACGTCAAGCTCCTTGAGATCAAGTAAATGTCTTGACGACATGCCCGCCTTCGGCGAAGAGACGCCGACTGAGGGTGCCCTACTGTACACATACTTGCCTGGCATGTCTACCACGAAGATGGCTTGGACTAGCTGGGCACCGGCGTCCAGACGATGACTTTCCCTTATAATGATGTGTGCTCGCGGGATTGCGAGCATATGCTTGCGCCGTGCCGCAATGGAGAGTCTCCGACCTGTGGCTATCTGTGAAGATCTGCAATCATCACTTTGCGGGAAGCAGATTTTGTTGGATGGGATGACGAGGCGAGGACTTACACTGCATTGGTTGGCGTACCACAAAAGAGTTTCCGTTGTAGGAATTTTCGCACCGGTTATGGTTTCTTCCGGTCGGTCTGTACTTAGTTTCGGTTTCCTAACGAAAAGATTTCCTTACTGTTTCCATTTTAGTCCCGGAGCTGCTGCTCCATCCGTCTCGTGATGCTTTGGCAGGTGGCCAGTTGCCGTGGAAACATGTCTCTTGCCACCAGAAGGAGTGACGACATTGCCCCTGCCGGAGGCCAATCTCTTGCTGAGTGTCATTTGCTGAACGTGGCTGGAATACTTATCTTGTCGTCTTCCTTTGGCTCTGAAATCCGGGAAACATCAACGTCCACAGACACATCGCCAGATCAAGCACCTCATCGCTGGTCGGCTTTCCGTCTCTCTTTTTGGACTCTACGTCATTCATACAGATCGTTTATCAGCAAACTTATATACATCACGCCAGTTACCCAATCGTCGCCATGGAAGCCTCCCCTCGCCGTTCCAGCAGCACTCCGCTGTACACCGCACCGCTTCCATCTGTCCATCTGAGTCCCGTCCACGCCAAGGCAAACCACCCGATGAAACTTCGCCATGAGAACGGGACAATGATCCGCAAGATCCAGGGCTGGGCCAAGCTCAGTATCTCCTCTGCAGGTACAGCCGTGCCAGATGGGTAACACGTCGAGGTGGACGCTGACGTTAAGGCAGGACCCAGATCAAGCGGCAGCAGCAGTTTCTCTCGCTTAATCCAGAGTATGAAAGTCCCGATCCCCCGGGTGAACGGTGACCGCGAGCAGAGCCCTCGCAGGCTCGCGGCCGCCGAAGAGACCTCGCAGCGATCGCAGCGATCGCAAGAAGATGAGGCTCCTCCGCTCCAGCCAGTTGACGTTGAGAGGGTTCGAACCATTGAGAAGGTCGCCACAGCCAAGATCTACTTGGAGAGCTACTAGGAAGAGATTCTTTCTCCTCGCGGTGCGCACAGGGGGCCACTCGAGCAGCGTCGACAGCGTGTCTCCGCCCTCCGGCACCACTTGAACCACTCACATCTATCCAACACGGAGGTTCAGCAGCAGATGGACTTGTGCTTCTAGGAAGAGTCTAGCAATCTCCGCAAGCAAAGAGTCGACAAAGCTCAGAGCTGCAGGTCGATCTTGTCAACATGGTCAACGAAGGCATCGGGAAACAGCAAGCATGGGCATCCCCTTGGATTATGCGTTGATGACTTCAAGACCATGAGTATCCTCGGCAAGGGTAGCTTTGGTGTCGTGAAGCTCGTCCGAAAGGTCGTTCGAGATAAGTACGCCCGAAGAAAGTACAATGAGGTGTACGCCATGAAGATCATTCGAAAGTCGGACATGATTCGAAGCTGCCAAGAAGGTCACTTGCGGGCGGAAAGAGACTTTTTGGTCGCCGCCTCAGATTCCGAATGGTGAGCTTGCCTCTTGCCATTAATGTTTTTTTTATTTCTAACCAAGAACTATCCGCAAGGATTGTCCCCTTGCTGTTCAGCTTCCAGGACATGGCGAATCTCTATCTTGTCATGGACTACATGCCTGGGGGCGACTTCCTAGGCTTGCTGATTCGAGAAAAAGTGCTCAGCGAGTCGCGGACACGGTTTTATATTGCCGAGATGATACTCTGTGTCGAGGAAGCGCACAGGCTAGGTTGCATTCATCGGGATGTGAAGCCCGACAACTTTCTCATTGGCGCTGACGGTCATCTCAAGATCTCAGATTTCGGCCTTGCGTTCGACGACCATTGGTCTCACGACACTTCGTACTACAGATGGCAACGGCAAGGGCTGCTCTCGAAACAGACATTCGCCCTCAATGGAGACTATGAAGATCGAAAATCAAATTCGGATCCAGCACAAAAGCAGAGCTCATGCCAGCTGAACTTTACACGACACGAGCCTCCTTTCCAAGTTGTCCAAGGCAGCAAACTACTCCTCAGGGAGCGATTGGGGCAGGAGAACAGGAACGGAAATAATCGTCCACGTGGTTCCTCAGACTGTCTTCTGGTCGATGATCTTCTCAACTGGAGAGCCACTGCCACGCGCCGGTCGCATGCTCGCTCCGTTGTGGGCACCAGCCAGTACATGGCTCCAGAAGTCGTCATGGGTGAGAGGTACGACGGCAGATGCGACTAGTGGAGCATCGGAATCATTCTTTACGAATGCCTTTACGGGTATACGCCATTCATCTCTGATAAGGGTCGCCAGTACACCAAGAAGAACATCACCGTGAGTAATACGGACTGCTGAAAACCTGCTATTACTAACTGTGGACAGAAATTCAAGGGACCCTTGGCTTTTCCCGAAGAACCTCCAGTATCAGACGCATGTAAAGATCTGATTAACCGCTTGCTTCTGGAGAAGCATCACCGCCTTTCGTCTCCGCAGTATCGCGACCAAGAAGGTCTCATCCGGCGCCAGTACGTGTTTCCGAACGATGGTTCTGATATCAAGAGACATCCGTGGTTTCGAGGGATCAAATGGTCTGAATTGCGTGAACGAACGCCACAGTGGCTGCCCCTCATCCGCGGCGACCTCGACACCCGTTATTTCGAAGAAGACGAGCCCATCAGTGACTGGTCCGAGTCATCAAGCTCTGGTGGTCAAGATGTAGTAGACGGGAATGAGGCCATCCCCGACCGAATCTGGCTTAAACTAAGGAGATCCCTTGCGGCCTGTGATTACAGAGAAGAACACGTCGCTTTTGTAATGAATGCCATCAAGCAGCCTTACGACTCAACGCGGCTCAAGCAAATCGATCGCGACATTGACGAATGTTTCTCAAGGCTAAGTTACGATGGGAAGAATGGCTTGAAAGAGTACGTCAGGAAGTATGGTCAAAAGGAACGCAAGCGGCCCAGAGACATGCTGCTCAGGGACCCGGACACGAAAGATGAAGTGATGCAGCTGAGGAAGCAAACGGCATTTCTGGGGTACTCGTGGCGAAAGCCTCGAAGCAGGCTCCGGCCGGCTTCTGCACGGTACGACGCTGAACCATACCATGCCGTATTACAGGGCGAAACGTTCGCGTACCCTTCGCAGATTGAAAGTCTACGACCGGCTCAGACATTTTGATCGGAGGTGGCTATTGGTGAAATGGCGTTGATGAGGTAAACGAACAAGAGGTATTGGATAGAAATAAGACATAAACATTATCGTGTATACACAGGCTCTCCTATCGTCGCCATCGATACCATTCTGGGGGTTGCCGCTCACATAGGCTTTTCCATCCCTGAGGCCCTCCCAGATTTCCAAAGAGCTTGACCCTTGGCATTTTTCATTTCCCATTCGAACTCCTTGAGAGCCCTCAACTCTGTGTTGAAGAATAGCAATGACAACAGGCCATCGATAACACCCGCGACCAAACCGAAGCTGCTAAAGAGCATCAGAATGAAGGCCACAGCGTTGTGCTTACTCCACCACACGCCTATAAGACAGACCCAAAGAACAGTGAACCAGAAAGCGAAGTGCATGCCCCTGTTAAAACGCTGCTTCTCCTCACGCGTGACGTACTCACGCACCGTGGACAGAATACTGTCGTACTCGGCATCGGAAAGGGACAGGCTCTGCAGGAGGTAGGGTTCAAGCTGAATGGACAGCCTGGCGGACAGCCTGGGATCTCTGCGGATCCTGGTAGGGTGATATGACAGCGTCGCCTCGACGGAGAAGTGGTCGCTGAGAGAACAGCCCAGGGTGGGATGAGGCTCTACCATGCCGACTTCCGCCTCCTTGATGACCCACTCCCCGCCGTTTGGATCCGTGGGCGCGCCGAAGAAGATGTAATCCAGTCGCTTGCCTTTGAGATCAATCGTGTCTGGGGGCATGACGACGGGCTGCTTTCCCTCGCCGAGCTTCTTTTGGAGTTGCTTGGGCCAGCGCCAGGTGTTGAAGGGCCCGTCCGAGGTTGCGCCGTTCTCGTGGAGGTTGAAGTCTGCGGTTGGCGCCGGGCGGCCACGGGCTTTCTCGAGTGGGTCCTCCACGGCGCCGAGGGACGAGTCCGGGTGCAGCTCGCGCCAGACGTCGCGGACGGGGGCGTGGGCGGTGATGATGCGGTGGGGAAGGCTGAGAGGCCGCATGTTGAAGTCGCCCATGGCGAGGACGAGGTGGCCCTTCTCCGCGGCGCCGCGGCAGAGTTTGGACATCTCCCAGGCCTGGGCGAGGCGGTGGGCGAGGTAGCTGTCGCCCGGCTGGTTCTCGGTGTAGGGGGAGTGGGTGTGCGTGTTGAAGATGCTCAGCGTCTGCTCTCTGGTGGTGGCGATGTCGTCTTCGCCGGCGGCGACGGGGATGCGGATCTGGGCGCACGCGATGCCCTTGCCGACGTACCAGTCGCCGCGCCAGAAGGCGGTGGGACGCCCGTTGAGAGGGTACCGGTGCATAGAGGACTCGACGATGGGCCATCGCGAGAGAATGGCCAGGCCGCCGCCAAAGGGGCCCGAGTAGTAGAACTTTGCATGCGGGAGGATGGGGGCGAGGGTGTGGCGGATGGATTCGAAGTCGGCTGTGACCCAGCACTCTTGCAGACAGACGATGTTTGGCGGTTTTGGGAGGGAGAGGATGCGCCGGCCGATCGCCTCGAGGCGGGCGGCGCGGAGGGTGGAGATGTACTTCAGACCCCAGCAGTTCAAGGTCAGAAGGCGAAGGTCATTTGGATTGTCCATCTTGACGCTGTTAAGGCTGCTGAGGGATTGCATCTGGATGTGTTGGGATGGGG